AGATCAATGAGATGGCAAGAGATGAGACTGAGAGATGATTGTCTGCTAATTTTTTTAATTGACAAATTAATGGAGAAATAATCTTATATTTCAGCTTTGAATTTTAAACTAGCAAAAAGGTTTTAATATGCTTTTATTAAGACATATTTATTAAATACCAACATCCTCATGTTCTACTAATGAATTAGAAAATACCTTTTTCAAATTAGAACAAAATAAAAATAATGTAAGTCAACAAATTTTAATTGCTTGCGTAAAAAGCTACCCGAAAATGGCTAAACGATGTTCCATAATTATCCATATATTACAAGTATATGGAAGATATGAGGAGAGTGAACAAAATATTAAACTATAAATAATTTATTAGTACTACATTAATCGAGATTTATTTAAATATGTATAAGTGTCACGAGCCGAGACTTAAGCTCCGATTCGCGTGGTTTCAGGACTCGAGCATGTATTCATTCTGCTTTTCAGATCAGCCTACCTACCACGATTCACACCCTTATGAGGTATTGTCTCCTCTGACCTCCTTGGCCTCACAGTTTTGTCCTACAAAATATGCCTCGCATAGGACGTGGATTGAATGGTTTAGGGTTGGTTCTGATATCACTTATCACGAGCTAAGACTTAATCTTCGACCGGCATAGCTCCAAGACCCGAGCATGTACTCATCCGACGTCTCGAACAGCCTACCTGTCACGATTCATACCCTTGTGAGGTATTGTCTCCTCTGGCCCCTTTGACCTCACGATTTTATCCTACAAAAGGCACTTCACAAGGATAAGGCAGTATGAACCCTTATATACCCTAGTAACCCTCCTTTTATATCCGATGTAGGATTCGAGACTCTTCCTTAGGTTCGTGACATTAGAATGAGGTTAGATTCGATTTAGCCTTTCAAAATTGAGTAAATGTAATTAATTCGGTTTGATTTATTTGATTTTGATATTAATTGCTTAAAATTTTAATTTAAAAAAGAAATGAGACATGTATTGTTCTTTTAATTCAACTTGTAAAGTTAAAAAAGTTTCATTAATAATGTATCAAATTAAAATTTCAAATATAAATACTACATAATTTTTAATATATTTGAAAATTATATATAATATACCATTTATTTTATATAAATATAAAATAATTTTTATATAATAATGGAGATAATTTATTTTTTATTGGTTAAAATTGATTAGACTTGCCAAATCAATGGTTGATTATTTATTTTTAATTCAGTTGATGCAGTTAATTATTTTAAATAAAATTGATTAATTCAATTTTCAAACTTGCAAGATCTCTTGAAAAAAACTTGAAATATAAAATCTGTTAAATGTCTTCCCCAAATTACATGGAATCAATTAAATTTATAAAAAAGAAATTTCTTTTGGAGATCTCCTTCTCTCTTTGAAATAATGATAATTATTATATTTATTTTTTTGGTTTTTCTTGAATGTAGATGTTCTTATGTTAGTTTAAAGGATCTTACTTATATATATATATATATATATATATATATTATCTCGTTAGCTAGAATTATGACATGCGAACATTGCTAAGTCAGCTCCATCTCATCCCATTTGAACATAGCCACTTCATGTAAATTTTTAAAACATTTTTTTCTTAATGTTTTTTTATTTAAAATTACATAAAATTACATATTTACTAGGTATTCATGAATTTAATTAATTATGAATACATGTATCTTGTATTTTTAAAATTTAAGTCTAGATTCATATTTATTATATTTCAATATTCATGAACTTAATAATTTATAAATATATGATATCAATAAATGTAAATAGTTATTAATGAATATATTTTAACTATTTATAAATTTAGGCATTCATAAATTTATGATATTCATAAACTCAATTAATTATAGATAAATGTACTTTATGTTTCATGTCATTTAAATTTTGAGTTTAAATTCATATTTACTGTTAATTAATTATAAGTTTAGATTCATAATTAATTATAAATGAAATATAAATTGAATAAATCCAAATATTAATGAATTTAATTATTCATAAATCTAATTAATTATGAATAAATATATTTAAAATTTAAAATAATTTAAATTTAACATATTTATTAAATAATATAAATACACTTTATATCAGAGGGAAACCGTTGTCTTGAGATTGAAAGGCAAGTGCAAACAATAAAAGGGTTAATCCCTCCGCGTTTGCACGTACTGCTAAAAAAAAATTGAAATCATTAGATCATTAGTAAAAGAAGGACCATAACGATGAACCTATCCTAATAAAAGGAAGAGTTGGAAGAGTCGGTCTTCTTTGAAGATCGTTGAAAAAAATCAAACAATTATGTTATTTGGTAGAAGGAATAATACGATTGAAAATGATATGAAAAATCAGCAGTATTGTACAAAATATCACATAAGTAAATAAATAATAGTAGATGAGTCAATGTCAAAGGGTCTCCCACGTCATCTTCGATAGGATCAAGCGTTGGATTTTACGGTATTTCCATGCGTCGGTGGGCCCCTTACCTTTGCTTGCGCAATCTTGTGGCTATAACCAATTCTCACTTGATTTTCAGTCATTCATCAGTTTCATCCCTGCCCCCATGAAAAAAAATAAAATAAAAGAAAAGAAAAAACTTAAAATAAAAAAATGGGAACTATATTACTTTTTGAATCACTTGTTCAGTTATTTCATTTCCGTTTAATGACAGTCCTCGGTGTTCGTGCCACAGACAACGACTGTGATCATAGAGATTGGCACATCCGCAGCCAATAACTCCCCTCGATGGAACAGCGTTACACGCATTGTGGTCCAATAAATGTCTGCCAGAGATTAGTCAGTGACTTTTGTCTCTAGTTTTATTTTTTTAAGAATCTTCTGTCTGTAGTTTTATACCAATGCAATTTGCAACAGTGCTTTTTATCTTATTTGAGCTTAAAAAACTTTTTTTGACAGATTAAATTCAATAATATTATGAGTAAATTAGATAATTACTCTTTTTTTTTTTTAGTCACTTACCTTAAAAGTATTGTACCCTTTAGGGTTTAGAAGGTAGCAACTAATCGAAGTGGGTTGAACTTGCGAGTAATGATTTTCCATGTGGATAAAAAAGAGGTTATAGTGATTTACCCCGATCCTAAACCAAGTTTTAATCTTTCAACCCTTGAACTCAAAACCGAGACGCAAGGAAGGCTTACGCTGGTTTTAGTAAGAGGAGAGTTAGCGAGGAAGATATTCAGCCTTGTGAAGAAAGGCATAATAATATGAGTAAGCTTCTTCACTCTATTATGGCCAAGACTTTGGTTATTTTTCTTTTTTTTTATTTCTTAATTTTTATTTTTAAAATTGAGGGGAAGCTTTGATTGCTATAACTGATTTATGGTGGTTTCCTTTTTTTTTAATTGTATGTTTTTTTGAAAAATAAACTACTACAATGCCACTTCAATATTGCCACATGGGTTTGTAAGTGGACATAACAATATTACATGGTGAGGTTGGTTGATTTTTGTAGCCACGTTAAAATTTTGTTTGCTCCTAGATGGATAGTGATGGGAAAATACAATTGAAAAATCATTACTTTTTATAGTAGGATAACTAAAAAAAAATCTTTAAAATTTAAATTAATCATGTAATTTACCTTGCCAATGATGGCTAAGCTTAGTGGCAAGGAGAGGCCCATATACCTTAAGGTTTCAGGATCAAATTCACTGTATGTGAGTTTAATTATTTAATTAAATTATAATTTATTAATTAATTATTTAATTAAATTATAATTTATTAATTAATTATATGAATATAATATTTGATTATGAGTCTGATTACGAGTATAATTTTAAAAAAAAGATAATATTTTGGATCATATAAAACCATAGTATATATATATATATATAAGTAAAAATATAATTATTTACATTATGCAACACCCTTTTTGTAAGTGAAAAGGAAAAAAATAAGTGAAAAAAATTTAAAAAGTGAGAAAAAATAAATAAAAGAAAAGGGAATTACATAATTAGTGAGTAGTTTTTTAATTGATTGGAAGAAAATTACTCATATATTTTTTTATTTGTTTTATATTTTATATTTTTTATTTTTGGTCATTGCCTACAATTGAGTTAGAGTTAGTTAACTCCTAATATCAAATTTAGTTAATCATTTTATAAGTAATATAGGTTCATTAAATTTATACGTATAAATATATAAAATTAAATAAATAAATAAAGAGGTAGAGAAAAGAGACAATAACAGAAATAAAAAGGCATTCAATATTATGAAAAAAACAGAAAAATAGATTTAATCTAAAAAAATTACAATATAGAATACTATTAAAAATATCTTAATAAAAATTATTTATATTTAATGTAATGTCAGATTTTACATACTGATAGTAAATTAAATGATACCACTTTATTAATGAAATAAATTAGATGATGAATATATATTTTAAAATTTATATTAATTTTTTATATATCTATTTTAAGAAATAAAATTTACTTATTAATGAGATAACATCATTTAATTCATTGACAATATATAAAATTTATATATTAACAATGTATCAAATATAAATTTTATTTCTAACAAAAAATACTTATCATTACCGAAATTAAAGGGAGAAATCTCCCATTATACAAAGTCAACATAATTATAAGCTTTAAAGTCTAATCTTAAAAAAGTTAGATGACTAAGAATATGTTTCTTTCCATTTAAATAAAAAAAAAAAAAACAGTTACTAACAGGAAAATCATGCAATTAATGGTTATATATATAGAAATTATCAAATAGAATTTTTATAGGGCGATCCATATTTTTTAAGCATATTTAAAAAATAAAATAATAACTAAATGTAAATGAAATATATATCGATTTCTTAATACCATTTGCAAAATTTTTTAAATACCATTTGTAAAATTAAAAATTTATATTGATAGTATATCAAATATTGATTTATATAATAATATTACTCATATATTAATAGGATAATAGGATTTCTATGGTCTATGAAAAGCCATGCAATGGCTATGTTCTAAGCATCTGAATGTTAGGTTTCACTATTTCTCTTGACGATGAGTTCATTATTATAATCTAATTCATAAAACCATTACAATAATTGGCTTTATTAGCAGACAGACATATATGGATCGGCAAGCTTAATAAATAAAGCTGTCCTCGCATGGGAACAAGAACAGCCAAGTTGCACTAAAAATTTAGTAGGGAAAAACAAGAAAATAAAAAAAAAAAAAGAGAAAAAGAAAAAGTCGAAAGATTAGATTTCTACATGAACCTAACATTCGGGCAATGTCGTCAAATTAAGGGTTTCCGCTGTAATATTGAAAGTCGCCAACCTGTTCTATGAAGGGATCAAGTACAAGAGGGTGGTATCTTGGGGACTCCTTGACGTTGCAACTCTCCCAAAACACTGTCGCTAGATGGCGGCTTCAGTCCCAGAGGAAGTGGCAGCCATGGTTTTGATAAAACGTCTTCTATAGCTGCATCAATGCTCTCTTTTGACTGTTGCACAACCACATTAATTATTACAAGCCATTATCATGCTAGCGAGTATTAAGGTCTGTCAAAGATCATTTTACTACCATAGCATATGCTTATATAAAGAAAATCAAAGATCATTAATAACTATAATATATGCTCTCTTCTAAAAGATCTAATCAAAACCAATAAGACGACATGCATTTATATTTATATAGACGTTAGAAATTTCATGTGACGTTAATGAAGGCTTTTAATTCTACAAGCATATTAAAAAGTTAATAACAATCTTCTTTTTTTCTCTATATATTTTTAATTTTTTATATATGTTTTTTTTTATAATTTTTTAATTTATCTTAATGAGTATGCAATTATCAATTTTACTGGTAAAGTTTTAAAGTTCTACCAACATTATATGAAATAATATTATTGTCAGTCATAATGATATATATTCGTCCATCTACTGTATTTTTAACTCTTTTGTCAGCCATAGTGAGCTTATGGTATTTATAGTTTATTTTCTTAAAAATAATTAAAATATTTGAATTCATATCACTGAATTGACATATTAAAAAAAAAAAGAGGAATCAGCATGCTTTGCTTTAGTTTTATTCAACTAATAATTAAAATTATCATTAATAAAAAAATTTGTCTCATGGAGCAAGATATTTTGTTAGCTTCTAGTATATATTTTCTTAAATAATGTAACGCAATGAAAGATGCACTTGAAAGTAAAGTGAAAGCTACTAACCGGGTGGAAGTCCATGAGAGGGTGGGGACCTGATAGTCCAGGCCGGACGCCAATGCCGGGGTCTGCTTTGTACATGGCATGATGGGGAAGAACGCCCGGCACCGGTGGTGCAGCAAATCTCTGCATGCAAAGCACCAAATCCACTAAGTCTCTTTCTTATGAATCTAACAGTACTCAAGTAAAAACCAGGTAAGAAGCCTCCAAAACAGTAAGGAGAGATTGGTTTACTGTTGTTGCCAGTGGCTGTGGAAAGCAAGGTGTTCCTGGGATTAGTCCATGTGGTACCTACAATAAGAGAAGAACACAAATATATAAATAAAAATGCCACTTTATATAGCATACTCTTGGATGTTGGTAATGTATATTAGTAGTGAGTAATATTTTTCATTTAATTAGGTGCAAGGGGAAAAGCGTGACTTGCTAGAGCTTACACGTTGGTGGTGATGGTGCCAAAACGAGGGGTCTGCTGGTGGAGGTCCCCATGTAGGCCGAGGTGGCGGCGGTGGGGATGGTGTGCTGGCTAGATGTTTAGGCCATAAGTTCATTAAGGATTGATCCACGGTGGGATGACCCCATACATGCAAAGGCCTGAAGTGGTGGTGATGGTGGTGGATGGGTGAGGGTGACATAGGCGGAAAACCCATAGTGGGTGCAAGCCAAGGATTCATATCTCTCTTGCCTCCACCTGCTTGGGTCGCAGCACCATACATTTGCCTCCTGTGGGTCCAGCTTGCCGCCTCCGCCTCACGAGCTAGCAAATGCTTCCGATGAGATCTATATTTCTGCGCAACAAAACATTTTCATCTTCACACCACACTCCCTCCCTTTATGAAAAATTTATTTACCGTGAAAATATATGCTAAATGAAATGTCATTTAGTTTCGAAGTTCATTTTTAAGTTAGGAAAAAGTGAATGGATTCTTAATTTCTTGTAATATCTGCTCTTAGAATGGAAATTTTGTTCATATATGCCTACAAATATGTTTCCTCCTTTAACTTAAATTTTTAATCAATGAAACGCATGTCAAAACAGATTCTTCAGAAAAATAAACTGCAAAAAATAAAAAAAAAATTCATATCCTTCAGAAGGAATGAAACAAATTGCAAAAAATTAAAAAAAAAATCATATCCTTCTGAAGGAATGAAACAAACTATCTATACAGTTGTAAGTTTTTTTTTTTTTTTTTGATGAAATTACTTTAGAAGCATATATCGATCCAAAGTAGGGATATCATATATAGATACTACTAAAAGAGTTATGTACTTGAAGATGGCTGGCAATGTTATGGCGAGTGAGACAATCGATTCCCATGAGCTCTAAAATTCTAGAAGGCACCGCCTTATCCACCCCGAGCTGCTCCACTGCTTGCACAAATCTCCTGTGAAGCTCCGGCGTCCAATCCACCTTCACACAATTCAAGACATAAGCCACTGCTTCAGCACCCCATTTCCAACAAAATCAACGGCATAAAACAACTCAAACACTTATCCTATCTAGATCTCAGGGAAAAAATCGAAATAGGTAACAAAAAGATTTAGCTTCTCAAAGGGCCTCTCTCTCTCTCTTGTGGATAATTCACATGCTCCCATCATTCTCGTGACATGTTAGTGCTCGTGGAAGTCTGTGAATGGTCCATAATTGAGAGAGAGAAGGAGACTGCTGCCATTGATATTAAGAAAAAAAGAAAACCCCTTAGAAATAACGAAAACCTAATTACTCTAGCATCTAGTTCAAATAATTCAGTAATTATACCTTCACTTTTCGCTTCCCTTGATTGTTATTCTTTGCTTGTGCCGATAATTTTCTGCCCTTATCACCATCCTTGGAAGGTGTTTTAACTGCTCTAGGTTCCTCTCTTTTGCTAACAATCTCCTCGCCTTTGCTTGAGCTCGTACCTAATCCTGAACCTGAACCCGAAACCTTATCTTCTTCCTCTTGCCTTTGATTATCATCCTCATCCGTTTTTTCAACTGATGTGTTCATCTCCGATTCCTCACCTCCACTGGCGGGTAATTCTGCGAGAATTTCAGGGTCCATCTCCAAACCCGGTAACGCATCACCTTCCACGTCGATGCCAGCGAAAAGATCTTCAAAATCAATACTCTCAAGTAAATTCCCATCGGCGAAGTCAGGGAATTCTTCTGAGCTAATAGTGAAACTCTCCATCTCTCCTTTGCTCTCATCTTTAGTTGTGTTCCTCAAAGGTGACACAGCTAGCATTAATTCAACAACTATTTACCCCTCCTCAAAGATTAAACAAAACTGCAAAGAAAAAAAATATTAAATCCAAAATTTACGTAGATATATATCCTCTATGCAGATATGTATTAATACTATTGCATGAAAATTGATACAGGCTATAAGGCTAAGTATTAGTCAAGGTGTTGGTAGAAACAGGATTTTTTTTCCCAGTAACTTGAATGGAGATGGAGAGATAAAGACACTAAATACGTTTAATGAGTTTCTTGTTGCTGTTTGTTTACACAGAAAGTCTGAAAGTGGAGTGTGGAAAAGGTTGGATCTCCACCACAACTTGGTTTGGGATCTTGGAATTTGTTTGTCTTTGTTTTTTTGTTTCGTACATGGACTACTTGCCGCTCGATTCTAATTATTTTCTTTTTATTTTCTTGTATTTTTTTTAAATTTGTGGATGGTAATGCAAAAATTTTGAATCGCGTGCTCGTGAGCTGTTATTTAAATTCATTTCTTGTTTATATGAGAGAAATTTGTTTCGAAAGAGAGAGAGAGAGATAAAAGGGATTGTGGAATTGGATTGAGATATATCACAGTGAGAAATTGAAAAACAAAGTAAACCAATTGGTGACTTTTTCATTTGCTCAAATATTATTAGATTTACATAAATAAATAAACAAATTATAAAAAACAATGAATAGTTATCAATCGAGCATTTAAATTGTTAAGATGTATATAAATTGTTGTCAAGTATAGAGGGCATCTTCTTTTATTTTTGTTCTTTGTTTTCCTGACAAATAGATTGAATGAGTTTTTGTCCAACTTTTAAAGGCACTTTAAGTTACATAGCCATTTCTTTTAAAAAAAAATAAAATGAAATAAAGCTAGTTATCGGGGAAGCCAATTTGACCGAAGTTACAATTTGAAACTTCTCCAAAACTAAGCATTGATGTATTTGATATGCTGCTGCTTCTTTCTGACTAAAGTAATAAAATTCAAATCTCCATTTCTCAAATTAAAAAAAAAAATCCAGAACAGCTTCAGCGAGTAGCCTTTTAAGAGTTTAACTAAATTTTAATTTTGTATTTCATATTTTAACATTCAAATTCAAAGACGTACAAGCAAAATTGTAAGTCTCATCAGCATTTTTATCTTTGGCTCCTTCATTGTCCAAGTCCTAAAGCACTATTTAGTATTTTTTTTTTCTCAGTCAAAGAATGGATTTCATTAATAGGATGCATACAGCACTTGCAGCAAAGTCTTTGAGACTAAAAGTTACAAACAAATGGTTCCAGAGAAGTATGACCAAAAAGCCCTATTTAGTATGTGGGGCCAAAAACAAATAAGCCCTATTTAGTAAGTGGTGGAAGTCTCTTCCGGTCGTCTATAACGTTGAGGTGTCATTTTAACGTTACGTTTAATGTTAAAATAATATTCTCTTGTAAGCATATTATCTATAATTATTATATTGTAATTAGTCAATTGTTATTTAGTATTATATAAGATTCATAAAAAGAAAAAAAATACAAAACTCACATTTTTATGTAATGATTTCTTATATAATTTTTTGTTATAATTAATTAATTGGATTATAATAAAAAAAATTACATGTGAAATACTCCCAACAGCCACAATGTTAGCCACAATTTAACAAATAGAGTCTAAGTGGCCATGATTCCATACTTCATTATGCATCTTATCTTTTGTTGATTTAGTAATCATAAATGTCAATAAATTAAAATTTAAGAAAAGACAAAATAAATATGATCTTTGATTTCTTTGATAAGCTGTAATTTTATTATCTAAGAAACAGTTAATGCACTACTACCAATTGACTGTACAAACAATGCTAATAGCACAAGAAATACACTATAAAACTCTTGCTACTTGGGTCCCATCTCTCATATAACTCTTTATTGACTTGATCAAAAGCAACATTATCATTCTGAGCTTGACCATATCCTTGATCTGTTTCAAGATCTGCTTACCAATAAATTCTTCATTATTGAACTACCTCTTATTTGTTTCCTTTCCATATCAAGTATATATATATATATATATATATATATTCCCCAAGCTAATGTCAATAGGATAAAGAGTAATGCCTTCCCTCGAAGTCTCTCGACCACCTATTAGAACTCTTCCTCCCAACCATCATCCTACCAATGCAAATTGCAAAGTCTCGACACTTGTTTTCAGACAGCCATAGAATAATTGCAGTTAAAGAAAATATGGTTCCCGGTTTCCTCCTCATGTTTGCATAGTACACATCCTTCATCAGTCATGATCCCTCGAGAGATCAGTTAATCATTAGTTGGAAGTCCTTTGAGGATACCCATCCAGGCCACAATAGCACATTTGGGTATGTAAAGTTTGCTCCAAATGAGTCTATGCCGTGAAACCTTTGTTTATTTAGGCTGTAATTCTTCCCAAATTGCTATAGCGAAGAAGCTTGAGCCCCTAATGTTCCATATTGTCCCTCCCTCTATTTGCACCAGCAGCATGAATGCTAGCTAGACTCATTAGCTACAGTAGCTTTTCCATGCACCAGCTACTGTCTTGAGTGATTTTGGTATCTCCCATAAGCTTCTTCCTTTAAGCACAAAGGCATGTATCCGTGCTATCCTCAATGAAGTAGCTTGTGAGAAGAGTGACCACAAATGCTTCAACACGCAAGCTAGATTCCAAGTTAGGAGATCTTTCAATCCTAGATCTTATTCTGACTTAGGGTTAGGGTTACAAATGATCTGCCACTTGACTCTGGCTCCCTTGGTTGTGCTTGACTACCCCTTCCGAAAGAAGCTTAGACGTAATTGTATACCCCTTTTATAACCTTTTGAATGAAAACAAAGTTCCTGTCTTCATCAGTAACTGTGGATGCTAGAAATGACTGATTGGATCAACTGTAGTCTTTCCGTATAAGTAGGTGCTTGGTTGCCCAACTGTTTATTTCTTGTTATAATCTTCACAATATCTTTATTTGATTTAAATTTCTTTTATTTTATTTACAAAATATAAATGTTAATGAATAAGTAGATTTTTTTATCCAAAATGAATTAGTAGATATCTAAATCAGAATAATTTTTTTTAATTTTTAAATCAGTATAATGTTAAACCAAGCTAGAAGCCTTGATAAAGAATCAACGGTTTCAAAAATATCCAATTGAATTTGTTTATCTTCTCTAAAATTTTCAGCCAAAGTGTTTATTAAGCAACAGTTAATAATGTCATTAGCAAAAGTAGAGAAGGGAAATTTTATTTGTTGCAAATTTAACGAATTTTAAATGTGCAAGTTAATTAAGGAAAAAGTCCGGCAAGGTCAAACGATTGGAGTTCGACGTACGGGGTGAACCGGTACATTAATGTTCTAGTAGTAGTACCCTACCAAAATTACAAAGGAGATCCAATCACCAAATTGGCAAATTAGAATAGAAGATGACTAAACAAAAATTAGTATTGCAAACCAAACAATGTTCATAAGTTAGAATTTATAGAGATTCTTTAATTATACAAATTGAATCTTAATTTTGTATAATTTTAATGCCCAAGGTCTTAGAATAAAATAATTTTCATAATTTCTTTATTATTAAAAAATCATAACTTAATCCATAATAAATTCTTTAGAAATTGTGTTTTATGAAAATTTTTTTTGTTTCTCTCTCTTTGACTCTTTTGACTTAACACACTATCTTGATGTAGAGAAAATGTTTTTTTTTTTTTTTTATAGACAAAGAGAAGAGCAAACTTTTTTTTTTTACTTAATGACCTTTACATATATATATTCCATCAACGAATAAATTAATGACAAAACAATCTCTCTTTATTTTCATTTGATCAAAATGAGTTTTAGCAAACAATAGTTATATTAAGTCATAATTATTTAACTTGTTAACTTAAGTTATTAAACCATAAACAAAAATTTTCACTTAAGTTAGATAGTGACATAGAGGCCATAATATCTAATATTCTCCTATTTGGCCTACATGGTTTTATTGAATTTTTTGGTTTAGTAATAAAATATAATGTGCAAAATATAAGTTAATTCTTTGTTAAATTGATCAAATAATAAATCATCATTAACCAAAAACTAATAAGGATTATAGTGGTTATTTGTTGTTAGCTCAACATAGTCCCTTTCCATGTATCATATTATTAGTTCTATACTCAACATGACTTGTAACAAGAGATACCATAATGGTCCAACAATAATGTTTTCGTTAAAGACAAATCTTGTTTATATTCACATAATTCAATAATGTATATATACTAATATAATAAAAACATGATGCATTAATATATAAAAAATAGTACTTAAAAGAGATTAAAGTGTCAAATACCTAAAGAACATAAAACTTTATTGTAATGTTAGTAATAGTTTTCAATAATGGACATTCTTTTGACATGTTCATTAAATGTCTTTAGTGGCAAACCTTTTGTTAATGGATCTGCAACCTAAGATTGGGCTTAATGTGATCAATTGACACTCTTTATTTTTGAACTTCCTTTTAACGGCAAAGCATTTCAATTTCATATGTTTAACACCTTTCAAATGCTTGTCATCTTTAGAAAAAAAAGACTACTATAGCATTATCACAATAAATTTTCAATGACTTGGCAACACTATTAATAATTCCAAGTCCTGCCATAAGCCATGAACAGTGGACTCAAAGTATGCCACAAACTTAGCTTCCATAGTAGATGCAATAATGACAAATTGCTTTGTACTTTTTCATAAGATTGGTCTACCAACTAAAAGAAATAAATAGCTAAATGTGGATTTTACGATATCCATAAACCCAATAAAATTTGAATTTGAATATCTTATCACACCAAGATGATCAAATCTCTTATAAGTGAGTATGTGATCTTTTGTTCATTGCAAATATCTCAATACTTTCTTTGTAGCCCTCAAATGATCTAATTTGAATTATTTTGATACTTGCCCAGCATTCCAACATTTAAACTAATGTTGACATGATACAAATTTGGGCATATATCAAGCTCTCAATAATAGATGCATAAGAAATTTATTCTATTTGTTTGCATTCCAATTCATTTTTTTAGCTTTGCATAAGGCTCAATTTATCTCTTTCTTGAATTGGAAGTACATTTGCAAAGCACTTTTTCATTTTAAATCTCTTTAGAACTTTATTAATATATGTCTTTTTGAGACAATCCTTATGATCTGTCACTGAATATTTCAATTCCAATCACATAGGATGCGTCATCCATATCCTTCATTTCAAAATTCTTAGAGAGAAATTTCTTAGTTTTATGTAATAAGTCAAGATCATTAGTAGCAAGCAAAATGCCATAACATACAAAA